AACTACCGACCATCGCCTACTTTAAAACCTCTCTTGGTACTTTGCCTCACGCCTTCTTTAAACCTATGAACACTTTATAAAGTTTTGTTATCTTCTCTTTTTACTTTTCTAGTCGTTTCCTTTCCAGACATAAATCAGTATTGACTTTTAGTTACCAATGTGTCACTTTTTATTATTTTATCTATTAACTTTTTCCAAATCTTTATATTATGACTCATAAGTTTTATGCTTCTGTAATTTCCAAATTTCTGTATGTCTCAATTTGTTTTAAATACGTGTACATGTTGCTATATAAATCATTTCTAAAAAAATGATTGTTAGTTTCTCCTGAATTAACAATGGATTTTTACAATTTTGTTTTTATTGGTTCATTTAGTTAAAGTAAAACATTAAAATTAATTAAGTTCTGAATATTTCAATTGCAGAGTCTTTTAAACACCAAAAGTTATTAGGAAATGATTACTATTATTTCTATTTCAATTATCTATTACGTTAAAAATTAAAAAAAAAACCCAGCACAGTGGGGTCGAGGCATAGTGGGAACGTTGCATAGTTTGGTCCAGTATAGATTTAATCTGACAGTGATTAAGAACTATCATAAGAAACGCTTCGGTGCAAATCTGTAGATAGTGTTTAATTCTAAGAAATTGATGGATAATTACAAAGCAACATCAACTTCTATTTCCTTAATTATACCCATATTACTATAACTTCTATTTAAGTATATTTTTGTTTCTGATGAAAGTTCCTTGTAGTTTAGTGTATTTATTCATAAGTAACAAAATTTTTTTATTAAAAAGTATTGCATCAATCTCTTTAAATTTTTATACACATTAAAAGTATATGAATATACAACTTCTTTTTATTTTTATAATATCTCCGTAAAAATACAATATTATATTATTGAAAATCAATTTCATACTAAATTTAATTACTATAATTATTATGTATTCATAAAATCAATTTCATAATAAATTTAATTACTATAATTATTATGTATTCATATATTATAATTATAAATCGGGACAAAATTAAGGGAATATGAGTTATAGTTGCTTTTGAAATAATACCTATCTCTTAAAATTTAACATTATCTACAGATTTGCATCGAAGCGTTTCTAATGATAGTGATTTTAATCACTGTCAGATATCATCTATACCTCGTCCATACTATGCCGCGATCCCACTGTGCTTCTTGTTTTTAATTTAATTATCTCTGAATTAATTTATTTGACCTTTCAACCAAACGTAGAACCTTATTTTTGAAAGATAATTTTGAACACAAAAGTGCTATACCATAGATATATTAAGAGCTTATAGTTCCTATAAACTAAGAATGACGCTTTAAGGTCATCAATTCGAATGTTCTATACCACTAGTATTAATATTATAATTATAACATGTTACTATAAATAATTTTAGGTTTATTTGATAATCGAAGCTTTAGCTGATGGTGGCGTGCGGATGGGACTTCCCAGAGATATTGCTTATCGACTAGCAACCCAAACTGTTTTAGGAGCTGCTAAAGTCGTCAAAGAAACAGGTGAACACCCTGGAAAATTGAAGGATGATGTAACCTCACCTGCAGGTAATATTTAATTATCATTATCATTAAAAAAAATAATCTAAATAAAGGGTAGCACAGTATAGACGTGCAATAGTTGGGACAAGTATAGATGATATCTGATAGTGATTAAAATCACTAAAGGATTTACACCGTAATACGGGGTAAATCACCAAAAAAATTACAATTTGTAATATCGTTAATATTATTAATAATAGCATATTTTTAAATACGGTAGTCATTTTCTCCATGAAGACAAATCCAGAGGTCACATTTTTTTTCATTTTTTTTTCAACATAAAGTATATTATATATGTTTTATGTTATGGTATATATAAAAGAATCAGTATTTCCGGAACATTTTCAAAAGTTAATTTTTTATGAAAAAGTTTTACCTTATGGGTAAAATTAGTGAAATACCTAAGGTATCTATATAAAAAAACGGCAGCACAGGGGGGTCGCGGCATAGTTACATCAAGTATAATGATATCTGACAGTGATTAAAATCACTATCAAAAAAAAACGCTTCGATGCAAATCTTTAGATAGTGTTTAATTTTAAAAAATTGGTGGATTATTCCAAAAGCTTCATAACTGCTAGTTCCTTATTAATATCCTGATTAAGATAAAGTATGTCGAATGAAAAAGGGATTATTAAAAAATAGTATTTAAAAAAATTATATTGATTCGATCATTTTTAAAAAAGTTATGTCAGTTATAAGAAAAAACGTCGAAATTTACAGATTTGTAAAATTGTAATTTTTTGGGGGATTTCCTCTATTTACGGGGAATGAGGTAATATTATTTGTTAACTAAAATATTGTAATAGTTTTATATTATATGTTATTAAATTTAGGCTCTACATCAGCGGGTCTTTATGCACTAGAACAAGGAAGAATAAGGTACACTATTATTGATGCTATTGAACAAGCCACAAATAAATGCAAAGAAACTACAAATACAGAATTGAAAATACTTCAACAATAATTTTATTACTAAGTAATTTAAATAGAATGTGGGTTTAAATTTCAATAACTTATTTGTTTTAGTATTATAATTGTATAAATGCACAATAATATCATAAAATATCTTTGAAGGTAAAATTTATTAATAAAATAATAAATTAATTTTTAATTTTTCCAGATATTATTTGCTGTTTATTATTGATTATGTGAAAATAGTACACTAACATCAAAATAAAAATAATTTTTTTTTTATATTTATACATTTATAATTTAAGAATTATTATTATTTGTCTTCTTTTTTTTTTTTAACTCTCCATAACTTTTAAATGATGTATAAGAAAATGGTCGTATATTTCCTTTTGATTTTTTACCTCTTATTTTGTTACTTTGAGGGCTATTTTTAAACCTTTTCAATTTACCATCATTGTTCTTTCTTCTTATACTCTTTAATAATGGTCTATGAATACCTTTTCCACCAGCTGAAATAAGTGTTGATAAAACGAATTATAGAATTATACTAGATAAAAATAGTGATAATAAGAAAAAAAGGTCAATAAATATGTTATCAATTTTTTTATGAATAATTATTAAAATAACTACATTCATAATTGAATGAGTTAGGGTTTAGACCAAATTTAGTGTTTTACAACCATAATTTGGTTGTCTTCTGAAATAATTAGCCCAAAATCAGTCCTCCCTTATTAGTGGAGTAATTAATTTAATTTCCCTTTCATTTCAGTATCAGACATAACCTCAATAATTTAATAAAATATATATATTCTTACGGCTGTATTTTGAATTAATTTTATAAAGTACTTCTTTGTCACTATCATAGTCTTCCACATCCATTTCTATGAACATTAACATTTTGAAAAGATTTTACAACATTTTTATTATATTATTATACATACAAGATATTTTTTTTATCATAACTCACCTTAATACACACAAAATAAAAATAATTTAAACATTTTTATTTTGGATACCATTAGTTACATATTATTCTTAATTTATTAGCTATGTAATACTTTTTAAGTTTATCCCTTATATCTTGTTAGGGTATCAAGTTTATCTTTTTAAATGGGAACAAATTTCGTATTTAATAAAATGTTTAAAATTTTATTTTAATTTTAATAAATTAGG